GAGTTGAGATTAAAATCAGCCGAGCAATGATCTTGTTGAATGGGACTCAAGCTCAAAAGGTCGAGAGGCCTACCTGTTTGTAAGTTAACCTTGACGCCGAGGTACTGTTTAGGAAGAGGAAGGTTACGCAATGCATTCTCTCTCTCTCTTTATACGGTCTGTTCCATTTCTCTCTGTACACTGTACTACGTCCCCTGTTGTACATTTGAAATTTCCATGACTGTGAGAGATAAAAATGGCTAAAAATGAATATCAGAGAACAGGGAGAAAGGAAAAGACACAATGGAGCTATCGTCGAATTAACTGCTGGGCCAAGCAGATTAGTTTATTGCTGTTCAGATATTCTTGCTACCAATAATTACCAAATTATTGTCACTTCCCCAACACAACAAGTAATACCTGTTCTGATCCTCAGAGCTCAGGGATTCATAAGGTCCCACAGGAAAGATCCCACACCAAGATGCCTGCTTTTTCCTGCATGTCATTGTGGCAGCTGCTACCTTCACAAAGCATCAAAGGTGAATGTTGGCTGGCATCAAACTGGCAAAGACTGCTCTTTTAAAAGCGGGAGAGGGTCGTCTTTGGGAAGGTTTGATCATATCGGATGGTTCTTCAGAGTCATAGAGTCATACAGCATAGAAACAGACCCTTCGATCCAACATACTAGTCTGAAAACGCCCGATCTTGTCTGATCTCAGAAGCTAAGCAGACTCAGGCCTGGTTAGTACTTGTTTGGGGCAGCACGGTGGCTCAGTGGTTAGCACTGCTGCCTCACTGCGCCAGGAACCTGTGTTCGATTCCACCCTTGCGTGACTGTCTATGTGAAGTTTGCACATTCTCTCTGTGTCTGCATGGGATTCCTCTGGGTGATCCAGTTTCCTCCCAAAGTCCAAAGATGTGTAGCTAGGTGGATTGGCCATGCTAAATTGTCCATAGTGTTCAGGGATGTGTAGATTACGTGGGTTAAAGGGGAATGGGACTGGGTGGGATGCTGTCGGTGTGGACTTGTTGGGCCGAAGGACCTGTTTCCACACTGTACAGATTCTATGATTCTAGTCCATGCCAACAATATTCCCAAACTAAACTAGTCCCTCTTATAACCCAAGATATCCTCAAACTCACAGTGAAACTGACAGCTTAAGAGCAGAGTTAATTTCAGTTTAACTCATCCAGATTTCCTTCAATGTGTGATGGGAGGACTGCAAACTCATCTCAAAAACACAGCATGTTCAGAATTAAACAGTTTTGTGATGTCCACCGCAATGGTTGGATGATCGTTTTTAAAGTACAAGGTGGCCTACAGCTCTATAAAAAATATTGATGCTGGGAAGCTCCTGGCTAGAAAAAAGATGTAACCATATTAAGTATTTATCGTGTTTCCCTCTTTAAAATCATATTTTCCCAAGAAGTTGGCTGAAGATTGCTATAAATGTCTGTACAGTTAGACTCCTTTAAAAGGGAAAAAAAACACCTGCACTTGTGTAGTGCCTTTTGCAACCTTCTTGTGGTTTGAAGAGCTGGTTGTCACTGAGGTACAGACATCTCATGGTTTGTAGAGGGAAACCATATCTACTTGGAGCACAGCAGGATCCCACAAACGAGAATGAGATAGAGTTACCAGACATTTTATTTATAAATGTTTGTATTTATACATTCACCACACGTGAGCACCAATGGTTAATCAGGCATTTGTTACACATGGCTTTGAGAAGAGGTGAGAAGTTCCCTTCTTGATTCACTGGAGTCCAGGGGTAAATGGGCACCCATAATGCCCTCAAGGAGGGAATTTCAGCATTTGGGGCCGGCGACAGTGAAGGAACGGCGACATATTTCCAAGTCGGGATGGTGAGTGGCTTGGAGGGGAACTTGCAGGTGATGGTGTTCCCATGTATCTGCTACCCTTGTCCTTCTAGATGGAAGTGGGTCTTGGGTTTGGAAGGTGCTGCCTGAGGATCTTGGGTGAATTTCTGCAGTCCATCTTGTTGATTGTACACGCTGCTGCTGATCTGCACTGGCGGTAAAGAAGTGAATGTTTGTGAATGCGATGCTAATCAAGCGGGCCGCTTTGTCCTGGATGGTGTTAGGCTTCTTGAGTGTTGTTGGAGCTGCACCCATCCACACAAAAGAGGAGTATTCCATTACAAGCCAGACTTGTTCCTTGTAGGTGATGGACAGGCTCTGGGGAGGTGAATCACTCTCTGCTGAATTCATAGCCTGTGTCCTGCTCCTGTAGCCACAGTATTTGTATATGAAAGAATGAATTAGGAACAGAAACATATCAATCAGCCATTCAATAAGATCATGATTTACCTGTTTGTGTTCTGAATTTCACTTTCCACTCTGCCCCCAGTAACATCTGTTTCTCCTGCCTAACAAACATCTGCCTTAAAATATCCAATTATTCCACATTCATTGTCTTCTGGGGCAGAGTTCCAAAGTCACACAACCCTCAGAGAGAAGGTGTTTCCTCTCATCTCTGTCTTAAAGGGGCTACCCTTAATTTTAAAACAAGCCCACAAGAGGGAACATCCTTTCCAGGTCCAGCTTGTCAAGATCATTCACTGATTTTATACACTTCATGCAAATCACCCCTCATTCCTCTAAACTCTGCTGAAAACAAGCCATGCTTATCCAATCTCTCCTCATAAGACAATCCACTTATTCCAGGTATCATTCTTGGTAAACCTCCTCTGAAATGCCTGCAATGTATTTACATCCTTCCTTAAATAAGGAGACCAAATATGGCCGGTCCAGTTCAGTTTATGGTGAACGGTACCTCCCAAGGATGTTGACAGAGAGGGAGTCGGTGATTATAGCACCATTGAATGTCAAGGAGGGATGATCAATTCTCTATTGTTGGAGATGTGTATGGACCGAGCTGGCATTTGTGTGGAGTGAATGTTACTTGCCAGCTATCAATCCGTTGATCCACCCATACACTGTGTCAGTAGTGGTAAGTAATGCTCACCCAGTTATTTTTGGGGACTTATATCTGCACCAGTAAACCAGAGTTGTTAATGCCTGGAGGAATGGGTTCAAGTCCCACCATAGGAACTGGTGGAATTTAGGTTCAATTCATTAATATATCTGGAATTGAAAGCTATTCTTAGCAACAGTGACCATGAGACTATGTTATAGTCATAGAGCTGTACAGCATGGAAACAGACTCCTTGGTCCAACTCATCCATGCTGACCAGATATCCTAAATAAATCTAGTCCCATTTGCCAGCATTTGGCCCATATCCCACTAAACTCTTCCTATTCATATACCCATCCAGATGCCTTTTAAATGTTGTAATTGTATCATCCTCCACCACTCTCTCTGGCAGCTCAGTCCATACGTGCACCATTTCTGCATGGTTCCTTTTAAATCCTTCCCCTTCACCTTAAACCTACACCCTGTAGTTTTGGACTCCCCTACCCTGGGAAAAAGACCGTGGCTATTCACCCTATCCATGCCCCTCATGATTTTATAAACTTCTGTAAGGTCACCTCTCAACCTCCAAAGAAAGTAGTCCCAACCTCATCATAGAATCCCTACACTGTGGAAATAGACCCTTCAGCCCAACAAGTCCACACTGACCCTCAGAGCATCCTACCCAGACCCATCCCCCTATAACCCACCTAATCTACACATGCCTGAACACTACAGGCAATTTAGCATGGCCAATCCACCTAACCTGCACATCTTTGGACTGTGGGAAGAAACAGGGGCACCCAGAGGAAACCCACACAGATACGGGGAGAATGAGCAAACTCCACACAGACAGTCACCTGAGGGTGGAATTGAACCCAGGTCCCTAGTCCTATGAGGCAGCAGTGCTAACCACTGAGCCACCATGCTGCCTGTAAACCTATTCATCCTCTCCCTGTGGCTCAAACCCTCCAATACAGGCAACATCCTTGTAAATCTTTTCTGAACCCTTTCAAGTTTAACAACATCTTTCTTATAGCAGGGAGATGAGAATTGCAAGCAGAATTCCTAAAGTGGCCTAACCAATGTCCTGTACAGCCACAACATGACACCCGATATTGGACAACGAGTGAAAACGTTATGGGGGGAGGGAAACCGAGCAATCCTTTTATAGCAATGATGTGATGTCACCAAGTTATAGCCAGAGACATAAAGTGCAGGAGTTAAGAGCATTCCAAAGATATCAGCACTGACCAATAAAGGCAAGCGTACCAAAAGCCTTCTTCACTATCCTGTCTACCTGCGACTCCACTTTCAAGAAACTGTGAACCTTCCCACCAACATCTCCTTTTTTGGCAAAACTCCCCAGGACCCTACCATTAAGTGTATAAGTCCTGCCCTGATCTGTCTTACCAAATGCAGCACCTCACATTTATTTAAATTAAACCCCATCTGCCATTACTCGGCCCTTCGGCCCTCCTGATAAAGATTCCATTGTGTTCTCTGAGATAATCGTCACTGTTGGATTGAAGTAAAAACCCATCCGGTTCACTAACGTCCTTTCGGGAAGGAAATCTACCATCCTTATTCTGCCTGGTCCAAATGTGACTCCAGACCCTCAGCAATCCTCTCAACTCTTTCTGAAATGGCCCAGCAAGTCACTCAGTTCAAGGACAGTTAGGGATGGGGAGCAAATGATTGTGTTACCAGTGATGCCTGCATCCAACAAAAAATAAAAACAAAAATTCCTCTTGGCTAGAGTAGTAGCAACAAGAGATTTGTGTCTGAAGGCCAGTCTTTACGTAGCTGCTGCCTTGTGGTGGGGATCTGACTGGGATGGAGAGGATGGGATCTATGAGGGTGGAAATGATGTGGCTCTAGATTGTCACTTTTTGGTACAAGATAGTGTCAGCCCATAGAGCTCCTGCAATGTCCTTGGATTGTAAGTGAGCCTGTTTAAAAAAAAACAAAACAGTTTCAGGCCAGCTGATGAATTTAGTTTGCATTAGAATTGTCAAACATGATAAAGTTATCACCTCGTGTGCTACAGGATTATTATAAACTGAGCACACAGTCAGAAAGTCACTTCATAGTAGTATAGCTATTGATCCATTTACACTAATCTAAACAGTGCTGATATCTTAGGAATGTTCTGAACTGTTCTTTACGTCTCTGGCTACAGCTTGGTGGCACCACGTCATTGCTATAAAAGGATTGCTCGGTTTCCCACTACCCCCCATAACGGTTTCACTCGTTTTCCAATACACTTGACTTTACCCCGTTTGGACTGTCAAACCACAAAGATTTGAACAATGGCGACTTTCAATGAGAAGAAGACTTGCAATCAACGCATGGAAGAATTCAAACGCTTTGTCTGGAATCCTGACACAAAGGAGTTCATGGGACGGACACCCGGAAAGTGGGGTAAGTCAGACCCTCACCAGCATGAAGTGGGATTGGGCAGCATCAGGCAAAAATGAGTCGCAAATTCTTTGAGGGCAGAAGGTACAAGAGGAGGAGACAAGTCATGAGGCATTTATTCTAAACGTTGGTCGGCCAGCAGTTCGGGGGTTGAGTGGCATAGATAACGTGAATGAAAAGGGTCTTTTCCCTAGGGTGGGGGAGTTCAAAAGTAGGGGGCATATTTGCAAGGTGAGAGGAGAAAGATTTCAAAAGGACACGAGGGGCAACTTTTTTACACAGAGTGTGTGGAATGAACTTCCAGACGAAGTGATGGATGTGGGTAGAGTTACAATGTTTAAAAGACATTTGGATCAGTTCATGAATAGGAAAGGTTTGGAGGGATGTTGGCCAAGCACAGGCAGGTGAGACTAGTTTAATTTGGGATTATAGCTGGCATGGACTGGTTGGACCGAAGGGTCTGTTTCCATGCTGTATGACTCAATAATAGTGATATGTTTGTGGCCATGCAGCAATGATTCACCAGGATAATGCCGGGGAAGAGAAATATGGTTGTCAATTTGGAAATTGAGATTACACAGCTATTTTTTCGGCAGTGGGTTAGTTTGGGATTGGTACAGGGCTATGGAGAGGGAATGGGACAGTGGGGCTAATTTGGTATTGATAGAGTGCTGTAGGGAGAGAGCAGGGCAGTGGGATTAGATTGGGATTGATACAGGGCTATTGAGAGGGAGCAGGGCAGTAGGGGATTAGTTTGGAATTGATATAAGGCTACAGAGAGGGAGTGAGACAATTGAATTACTTTGGGATTGATACAAAGCTATGGAGTGGGAGTAGGAGATTGATACAGGACTTTGGGAAGGGTTTGGGATTGATACAGGGTTATGGGGAGAGAATGAGGTAGTGGGATTAGTTTGGAATTGATGCAATGGGAAGGGAGTCAAATGGAGGGATATGTTTGGGATTGATACTGAGGAATTTAGGGGAAAAAATACTGGTTTGCTCGGGTTGATTGAGGAGAGGGTGGGACAGTGAGATTGGTACTGGATTGCTGTAAAAGCATGAGTACAGACACTATGGTCTGAGTGTTGCTGGAAAGTGCAGTGGTTTTATAAATGGCTCATTAAGGACATACCAATTTATTGTTATAGCTAAATCCCCTCTCTGGCCCTGAAACACTAACTTTGGAAACCTGTGTCCCATGATTAACATTCCAAAGAGTAATTCTTTGTCTGAGAACCTTTCAGATATATTCGCCCTCCAATCCATTCTGCACAGCTAGAAATTTGACCAGAATTAATTACAAGACTTTGATGGGTAAAGGAAGGGTTGTGATTCTGAGTATCAGCACCCTAATTGTAGTTTTAATAAATGTGAAGGTAACAGACAGGTAGGCAGATACAATAAGAACAATTTATAAATATTATAAGGACTGATTATGTCACCCAATGCCCATTCAAGCATAATTCTGCTCCATTATCCTTGATGTGGAAAGTTCATTTGCTGCTAGACTTTGGGCCATTTTTGGAAGTGAACTATTCTTTACCTTGTTTTTATTCTGGTGTAATAATAGCCTGTTGCGTTTAGTCACCCAGTTTTAGTACACTGCTGGCTATAACTTTGGAGAAAGTTGACCACAAATATTTAGAAGGTATCCATTCCCCAGTTGTGACATATTTGATTCCAACGCCACCTACTGGTCGGTGAGGGGAGAGTGGGCATAGAAATCCCAGAACGACCTGTTGTCTGTGAGGGGAGAACGGGGCAGTGAGATCCCAGTACAACCTACAGAGTATCTGTGGTTCACCGGAAAATGGGCTCACTGTGAATCAGAATGAAGAATGAAGATCTTTTGTAAAACAAACCAGGAAATTAAAAGCACAGCTTGTCTTTTTTTTGAAATCCTTTTAGGAAGCTTGAAGACTAGCACTGGATAGATCATAGACAGATAATAGTGGAATCTGAAGTATCAAACATTTAAAAAGTCATTATTATTTTAAAACTCTTTGGAATGTTTATCATGGGACACAGATTTCCAAAGTTAGTGTGTCAGGGCCAGAGAGGGGTTTAGCTATAACCATAAATTGGTAAGTCCTTGAAAATCTCATTCAGCTGAATCTTTCTGGAAACAACATAGTGTGGATGCTGGAAATATAAAATAAAAACAGAAAACGTCGATTAGTTCTCAGCAAGCCAGAGAAACGAAATTAATATTTCAGATGGATGACCTCTCAGAGAAAAGTTTGAAAGATAGTAAGATTTCTTATCATTGAAAGGGGACAGTGAGCCTAGAGGGTGTTGAAGAAACAAAAGGTATGACCATAAGAGATATGAATAGCAGTATGGCTGCAGTTCAATAACAGAGAGACCAGACAGAACTGAAGAAAGGAAGCAAAAGGGGGAACAGACATTAAAAGTTTGAAATTGCTGAACTCATTGTTGAGTCTAGAAACCTGCTAAAACCCAATTGGAGGGTGAGGGGCTATACCTCAACATTGTGTATGGCTTGAGTGGAATAATATAGAAGAAGGTAGATGGGATGCTTGCCTTCATTAACCAGGGTGTAGAATACAGGAACAAGGAAGTCTTGTTACAACTATATAAAACATTGGTTAGGCCACAGATGGAACACTGTGTGCTACACTATTGGAAGGACATGATTGCGCAGGAGAAGTTGCAGGGGAGATTCACCAGAATGTTGCCTGGGGTGGAAAGTCTCAGTTATAAGGGAGAGAAAGGATAGACTGGGTTTGTTTTCCGTGGAGCAGAGAAAGTCAAGGATGGGATCTTATTGAGGGCTACAGAATTATGAGAGTGTAGTTTGTAAGAATTCTGTCCCCATGGCAGACATGTCTAAGACCAGAGGGCATAAATTTAAAGTGAGGAGGAAATGGTTTAGAGGAGTTCTGAGAAAATTGTTTTCTCCCTGAGGTTGGAATGTGTTGCCTGAGAGGGCGGTGGAGATAAGCACTCTCATAACATTTAAGAAGCATCTGAATGAGCACTTAAAGTGTCAGAAGTTGCTGGAAAAGCTCAGCAGATCTGGCAGCATCTGTAAAGGAAAAAACAGAGTTAACATTTCGGGTCCAGTGACCCTTCCTCAGAACTGCCAGTTTTCCAGCAACTTCTGTTTTTGTTCCTGATTTACAGCATCCGCAGTTCTTTCGGTTTTACTTAAAATGTCAGGGCTAGTAGGCCATGGAACAAGTGCAGGTGAATGGGGTCAATGTAATTTGGTGTTTGCAATAGACACGGTGGGCTGAAGGGCCTGTTTCTACGGCGCGAAGAACATTGAGAGATTGAGAAACTTTTTCAGCACTTGTTACAGCTTGAACAGGGTGTTCAAAGCGGAATATCTCAACACATCATCAATACTATGCTGATTGCCTCAGTGGTGAGTAACTCAGTGAACCCAGCAAAGGAGCAGGCTGTGACTGACAGCAATTTACAAATCTAACAGAGAATGTGCTGGTGGCTGAAACTGCTGTCCATTTCACACGCTCATAACATTGAATGTCCACAGTTTTGCTATGTATGTAATCACAAAAATCCCAGCCAGTACAACAGGAAGTGTTGTGTTCTATCGGATTTCACGGGAATTTCAACTGAATTTGGAGTTTGAATGAGGGCATAAGTGGGAAGGGAATAAAGGATTAAATTGATGAAAATGGACATGAAGGCTGGAGGAGGTTCACTAGAGAAGTGAGGCATGGTCAGGCTGAACGAACTGTTTCTGCGATGTATATCTTTGATGTAACATTTCACTACTCTTCCCCCAGCTCTCATCATTCTATACTACGCAGCCTTCTATGTTGTAATGTGTGGATTGTTTGCACTGGCCCTCTTTGTGCTGTTGACCACAACGGATCCCTATACACCAACCTATCAAGACCAGCTGAAATCACCAGGTAAGATCTGTAAATACATACGTGTAACAGTGTGCCTCGGTCTGATTCCGAGCTGTGTGCAACAGTCAGTCTGTCTCACTCTGCTTCTCACTGTTATGTAATAAAGCTGTATAATATTTGGAGTATAGCATGCAGTCTGGTTTCCACATGACCAGAAGGACCTGGATGCTTTGGAGAGGGTGCAGAGAAGGTTTACCAGGATGTTACCCGGTCTGGAGGGTTTTAGTTATGAGGAGAAGTTGGATAAACTCAGATTGTTTTCACTGGAAAGATAGAGGCTGAGGGGCGGCCTGATACAGGTCTACAAAATTATGAGAGGCATAGATAGGCTGGACAGTCAGAGGCTTTTTCCCCAGGGCAGAAAGGTCAACTACAAGAGGCACAGACTCAAGGTGAGAAGGGAAGTGCAGGGAAACGTTTTCACACAGAGGGTGGTGGCTGTTTGGAATGCACTGCCAGCAGAGATGGTGGAAGCAGGCACAGTAGCAACATTTGAGGCGTATCATGATAAGACATAGGGGGGGGGGGGGGTGGTGAACAGAGGGATAGGAACTGTGGATGGACAATAAGTAGAGGGTCTAAATAAGGATTAGAATTGGCGCAGCCTTGGAGAGCCAAAGGCCCTACTCCTGTGCTGTTATGGATTGTATTATTTTGAATTGTATAAAATGTTTTTGTCATTTAGTAACTTTAATTTTTTAAATAGAGGAAGACGGAATTTGGTTTCAGATCTTTGAAGGCAACTAGTTTTTTTAAGAGGTCAGAAAGGCATTTGGGGCAGTGACTGGAATACAAAAGTTCAAGAAAGCATATGATACAGTAAGTGCCTTGCAGTATACCAGGACTGTTAATTGATGGTATGTTTATACTACTGAGTTTCCTACAGGGAAAACAGACTTTGGGCCATGAGCATAGTTTTGATTTCAGTTCAGAAGAATCAATTGTTCCGCTCAGAAGGACATTTTCCTCCTAACAGTAAAATCCAGTGGTCAATTCAGGAGAACAGTGACCCTAGCAGATGGATTTTCTGTTGTAAAGTCTCCAAGCTGTGAGAGTTTAGAGAGAAGTTTTCAAGTTGGCAGCACTGAAAGGAATTTTGGCCAGGCAGAACAGAAAAATATTTCTAAAATTGTCTCAGCAGTCCAGGAGAATTGATAAGTGTCAAGTAAGTGAGAAAAGAAAGAGTTGAAATAGAGGTGACAAAAACAGAAGTTGGTGGAAAAGCTCAGCAGGTCTGGCAGCATCTGTGGTGAGAAATCTGAGTTAACATTTTGGGTCCAGTGACCCTTCCTCAGAGCTGATGGTAGCTTGGAAAATGTTGGTTTATATGCAGTAGATAGGGTTGGGGGAGGGGGTAAGGAGTAAACGAAAGGTGGGGATAGAGCTCAAAGAGAGAGAAAAGCAGTTGGACGGACAAAGGATTAGAGAACAATCTGGCTAGGAGGGTGACTAGCCATTAATCGGGACCGTTAGTGGCTAACAATAGGTAGTGCGCAATGGCAGACTATGTGATAATAAGGCCTAGGAAGTGGAGTAGGGGTCTAGGACATGGGAGAGTTCAGGCCCTAAAATTACTGAACTCGATATTGAGTCCAGAGGGCTGCAGGGTCCCTAAGCGGAAAATGAGGTGTTGTCCTTCCAGCTTGCATTCAGCTTCGCTGGAATACTGCGGCAAGCCTGAGTCAGAGATGTTGGCCAGGGAGCAGGGTGGTGTGTTTAAGTGGCAGGCAAGTGGAAGCTCAGGGTCCTTTTCTGTGAGCAGAACGTAGATGTTCTGCGAAGCTGTCACCCAGTCTACGCTTCGTTTCCCCAATGTAGAGGAGACGACATTGTGAGCAGCGGTTGTAGCAGACTAGATTGTGTGAGGTGCAGGTGAAGTGATGCTTCACCAGGAAGGTATGTTTGGGCCCTTGGATACTGGGGAGGGAGGAGGTAAATGGGCAGGTGTTACACCTTTTGGCATTTGCAGGGGAAGGTGCTGTGGGGCAGTGGGGTGGCGTTGGGAGAGAAGGAAGAGAGGACCAGGGTGTCCCGGAGGGAATGGTCCCTGCAGTACAGGCTGCTTCAGTAGCAGATGTTTTGAATTTTTTTTGCTCAACCCAGATTGAGCGTCAATGAGCAGGCTGTAACTGAGTAAGTGCCAGTTGATAGCACTGCTGATTATCCCTTCCATCACTTCAGTAAATACTAGTATTGTAGCTGCACTGGAGCCCAAGTTGTCAGCGCTATTGCCAGAATGTTGTAAGGCCCCACAGCCTTCATATTACCCAGAGACTTCAGCTATATCTCAAGATCATGTACAAAGAAGTGAGTTGGCAGAAGGCTGATGTCTTTGATACTGGCGACCACTGGAGGAAGCTGAGATGGATCAACCACTCGGCACTTCTAGCTGAAGATCGTTGCAAAAGCTTCAGCTGAATTTTGCTGATGTGCCAGGGTCTCTCCCATCACTGAGGATGGGGATATTTGTGGCGCCTCCTCCTCCTCCTCCTCCTGTGAGTTGTTTAAATGTCCATCACCATTCACGACTGGATGTGGCAGGTCTGTAGAGCACAGATCTGATTAGTTGGTTATGGGATTGCTTAGCCCTGTATATCACATTCTGTTTGTCCTATGTCATAGAGTTAGAATTAAAGTTAGAAATAGAATTGGAATTAGAATTAGAATTTGATTTTACAGGGATACAGGGATACAGGAATACAGTGAAAAGTTTACAATGTTGCCATTCACAGCACCATCTTAGGTACAAACATACCGAGGTATAAAATCTTAGGTAAAAAGTAGAAAAATAAGGAAATATAGCAGTTCAACATTAAAATCCTTTTTAGTATAAAGTAGAAGAATAAACAAGTAAAGTTAAAAGTTCAACAATGTTCACCAAGATGAGTGTTTGTCATACTCCTATAATGCACAGCGCTGTATAATATATTTTTCTTACAGGTAAAATGTTTCTCTATCTTCACTAAAAAAAAAACAAATGAAAATTACTTTAGACCAAAATAATTGAAAAAGGGCCAATGAAAATTAGCAAACGTTTTAAATCCTGTTTCCTGCTACAAAATGGACACATCGATAGATTGACGTTTTCACGTTGTAAACCTTTCTCTTTTACCGATGCTTTTTGCTCCCTTTGTGAATATTGCCTCTGTAACACTGCAGTAAATTTGAGTTGTGCCCTGTTTTAGGTGTGACAATACGACCGGAGCCGACAGGTTTGAAGATCTCCTTTAATGTCTCAAATCCAAAGTCCTGGCAGTATTATGTCAACGCTCTTCAGCATTTCCTTTCAGGTAGGAATGAATGCACAGAACTCTGTCAGTATTTCGATACAGGACCATACTGCATTTAGTATAAGCATTTAGAAATCTGGATTAATTTTGTCTTGGTTAATCTTAGGAAACTATCTGACAGGACTTCCAGTGTTTTTTGGTTTTAGATTGCACCATTCATGAGCGTACATATGGTACCAAGCCCTTACATTCAGTTTCTCTTCAGTGTGTTCTTCCTATGGACTCAATTCTAGTCATTAACACATTGGGAATCACTCATTCTTCACTGTCCTACCATAAGGGGCAGATACACAAATCGATCTCTCACTCTGTTGTTCCCTATACCAGATCCTCTTTTCCTCTGTCAAATCAACACATCATCCACTCGAGTGATCCTTTAAGGAACTTTTTCATGCCTATCCAATTCCAGCTCTGTTTGCTGACTTGTTATTTGACTGAGATTGGGAGATGTTTGCTTTGCATTGTCAAATTCAGAGTCACTGTTAAAGCCATTACGGCTCTGAAGGAGGCCCCTCATTCCATTGAGTCCTTGACTCATTTTAATTTGCTTTGTGCCATTTTCAGACCTACCTGAATAGAGTCATAGGGTTGTACAGCACAGAAGCAGACCCTTTGGTCCAACTCGTCCATGTCAACCAGACATCTTAAATTAATATAATCCCATTTGCCAGCATTTGGCCCACATCCCTCTACACCCTTCCTATTCATAAGTCCATCCAGATGCCTTTTAATTGTTGTAATTAAGCCAGCCTCCACCACTTCCTCTGGCAGCTCATTCCATACACCCACCACCCTCTGCGTTAAAATGTTGTCCCTTATATCCCTTTTAAATTTTTCCCCTTTCACCTTAAACTCAAGTGCTGGTGGACTTGACCATTGGGCCTAATCCCATTTGTGTAATTTTCTACAAACCCGGGTATAAATGTAGTTGTCGGGGGGTGGGTAGTGACCAGTGAGAGGGGGAGGAGAATTGCTTGGAGGAGACAATGTTAAAAGGTTGCGAACAATTAAAGGGAAAGGGAATGATAATGGGTGTGAGGGCAAAAATTCAGAAAGCTCCTGGAGAAACGACTGAATCCATGACCGCCACTGGTGAGAGATTGGCTGTTGGGCTGCTTCTTCATACATAAGCTTCACTGAATAGACACAGAGTGGGACGGCATGCAACTTCCATCAAACAGTGGAGTGGGTGCAGGGCTGCTCCACTCCACAAAAGCAAGCTCAAGGCTGCACCTATGGACTCTTCATCTTTGTTTGACTTGTAGCCTTTTTCTTTTCATAGAGTTATAGAGTTGTACAGTCATACAACACGGAAACAGATCCTTCAGTCCAACTCGTCCAGGTGGACCATGTTCCCAAACTAAACTAGTCTCATTTTCACACATTAAGCCCATATTCATCCAAATATCTTTCAAATGTTGCAACTATCCCTGCATCTACCACTTAATTTGAAAAATGTGAACGATATGCTAATGCAATGGTCCAGAGTAAATTGAACATTGTCCGCAGGTAAGCAATATATTTCTTCATTGATATTGGGACTGAAGAATTTGAGCTACAGGGAGAGGCTGAATAGGCTGGGGCTATTTTCCCTGGAGTGTTGGAGGATGAGGGGTGACCTTAATGAGGTTTATAAAATCATAAGCAGCGTGGATAGGTTGAATAGGCAAGGTCTTTTCCCCAGGGTGGGGGAGTCCAAAACTAGAGGGCATAAGTTTAAGGTGAGAGGGGAAAGATTTCAAAGGGACCTGAGGGGTAAACATTTTCACATGGAGGGTGGTGCAATAAATGGAATGAGCTGCCAGAGGAAGTGGTGGAGGCTGGTACGATGACAACATTTAAAAGACATCTGGATGGGTATATGAATAGGAAGGGTTTAGAGGGATATGGGCCAAATGCAGGCAAATGGAACTAGGTCAGATTGGGATATCTGGTCGACATGGCTGAGTTGGAGCAAAAGGTCTGTTTCCGCGGTGTATGACTCTATGACTCTGTGGCTTCCTCTGACAGTTCATTCCATGTACATATTATATTCAGTCTCAAGGACTTTCAGAAGACCTGTTGCAATTCTCCACTAGAATTGGTTGCGGCCTTTTGAATTTAATTTAGATAAAATCTAGTCCCTCACAACTAGGATGTTACTGGGACTGGAGAATTTGAGTTATAAGGAGAGGTTGAATACGCTGGGATTTTTTTTCACTGGAACGTAGAAGGTTGAGAGATGACCATTATAGAGGTTTATAAAGTCATGAGGAGCATAGATAAGGTGAAAAGCAAAGGTCTTTTCCCTAGAATAGGGGAGTCCAAAACCAGAGGGCATAATTTTAAGGTGAGAGGAAAATACTTAAAAGGGAACTGAGGGGCAATTTTTTCATACAGAGTGTGGTTCGCATGTGGAATGAGCTGTCAGAGGAAGTGGTAGATGCAAGTACAGTTACAACATTTAAAAGACATTTGGACAGGTACAGGAATAGGAAAGGTTTAGAGGGATATGGGCTAAGTGCAGGCAAATGGGACTAGTTTATGACTTGCTGTATGACTGTATGACACTATGACTAGGGTCTATCTGATTTACACCCTTCAAAGCAGCACAGGAGCAGGCCCTTTGGTTCACCAATGACCAGCCTCAGCTGGAGCATCCAGGTTTGAGCATGACACTTTTTCAGATGAGGGGATTGGAGAGAGCGCAGAAAATATTGACAAGAATTGCTCCAGCGATGAGGGACTTCAGTGATGAAGATAGATTGGAGAAGTTGGGACTGTTCTCCTCGGAGAAGAGAAGGTCGAGTGGAAATTTAATGGAGGAGTTCCAAATCATGAGGGGTCTGGACGGAGTGAGAAACTGTCCCTGATGATGAAAGGATTGAGAACAAGGCGACACACATTTGTAATAATTGGCAAAAGAAGCAATAGTGACATGGGGAAAATCGTTGCCATATGGCGAGTAGTTAGGGTTTGGAATGTATTGCCCGAGAGTGTCGTGGAGGAAGGTTCAGTTTGAACAGACTGTTATCTGCGAAGATGATTTGGACAGAGTTACAGGGAGAAGGCAGGAGAGTGGTGCTAAGTGAATTGCTTATTTGTAGAACCAGCACAGACATGATGGGCTGAATGACCTCATTTTGCCCTGTGCTGATTCTGTTATTCAGTTGATGCCAAGCCTTGAGCCAGACCTCGTAACCCTGCAAATTTTTCTGCTTCTGTGTTTATCCAATGCATATTTAAAAGTTACAATTGAATCCGCTTCTACCTTGCCTTCAAGTACTTCGTTAGTATGCAAAGCACACCTGAGTATTGGTCAGGGTGAACTGGGGAAATTTCCAAACATCTCGCTCCTTACACTCTAGACTGACCATTGATCTTCTTTCAAACAATGTATCAGACCGTAACCAGGACTTTCCTTCTTGTTAAAACACCCTGCGCTCCCTGTAAACCATGCTGCCCCAAATGCATTACATACTTTCTAAGCGCCTAGCACACTGTATCATCTGTTTGCCTTTATTGGTCAATGCATCAAGTTAAGGAGTTGGGAAGGTCATGTTGCAGCTGTACAGGACATTGGTTAGGCCACTTTTGGAATTCTGCATTCAATTCTAAGTCTCCCTGCTGTAGGAAAGATGTTGTGAAATTTGAGCGGATTCAGAAAAGATTTGCAAGGATGTTTCTAGGGTTGGAGGGCTTGAGCTGCAGGGAGAGGCTGAATAGGCCGGGGCTATTTTTCCTGAAATGTTGGAGGCTGAGGGGTGGCATTATAGAGGTTTATAAAATGAGGGGCATGGATAGGATGAATAGCCAAGGTCTTTTTCCTTGGGTGGGGAAGTCCAAAGCTAGAGGGCATAGGTTTAAGGTGAGAGGGGAAAGATTTAAAAGGGACCTGAGGGGTAACATTTTCACATGAAGGGTGGTGCATGTATGGAATGAGCAGCCAGAGGAAGTGGTGGAAGCTGGTACTATTACAACATTTAAAAGGCATCTGGATGGGTATATGAATAGGAAGAGTTTAGAGGGATATGGGCAAAAAGCTGGCAAACAGGACTAGATTAACTTAGGATATTTGGTTGGCATAGATGAGTTGCACCAAAGGGTCTGTTTCCATGCTGTACATCTCTGTGACACTATGACTGAAGCTCTGCTCTGAGGTATACAAAAGACTTCATTGCTTGAAGGATGGAGTTTAAAAACAGGGAGGTTTCGCTGCAGCTGTATAGGGTGCTGGCGAGGCCCTTTCTGGAGTACTGTGTACAGTTTTGGTCTCCTCACTTGAGAAAGGATGTATTGGCACTGGGGGTGGTGCCCAGGAGGCTCACTAGGTTGGTTCTTGAATTGAGAATGTTGGCTTATGAGGAGATATTGAGCAGACTTGGACTATACTCTTTGGAATTTAAAGGAATGAGGGGAAATATTATAAAAACATATAAAATTATAAGAGAATAGTTAAGAGAGAAGCAGGGAGATTGTTTCCACTGGTGAATGAAACTGGAACTATGGGGCATAGCTTCAAAATAGAGGAGAGCAGTTGAGTTGAGGAGGAACTTCTCCACCCAAAGGGTTGTGAATCTGTGGTATTCCCTGCCCAGTGAAGCAGTTGAGCCTACCTCATTGAATGTTTTTTACAGCAAAGTTAGATGGATTTTTGAACAGTAAAGGAATTAAGGATTATGGTGAGCGTTTGGGTAAGTGGAGCCAATTGCACGAAAAGATCAGCCATGATCTTATTGAATGGTGGACCCGGCTTGATGGGCCAGGTGTCCTACTCCTGCTCTTATTTCTTATGTTCTTCTGTAAGTCAGACCATTATGTATCATTCGCAAATCTTACTGTACTTTCCTTCTTCATCGTGTGTGTGTGGTGCTACCGCTCTGTTAAATGAGGCAAATTTCAAGCTACTTGAGGCAACTGGGCATCGGTGAGGTTGGACATCAGCAGCAGCAGAATTGCAGTCAACTGCAATCTGACCTCATTGGTTGACATATTCTCTACTCTACCATAACCATCAAGTAGGGGTACCAACTCTGCTTCCAACAAAGAGTGCAGGAGGACATGCCAGAGTACCACGAGG